GAAAATAAAAAAATACCATACAAATATCACCTGTGAAGATTTCACCGGCGAAATTTTTTCATTTCACAAGGAACTGTGTACTTAGCTTTAAGATTGGCGAGCATTAGAGCGTTACGTAAACAAAAGATGCCATTAAGCCAAAATTGAAGTAATCTATTTTTAAGTTGAACTTTTTTATCGCTTCTCTGCTTAGAACTGAAGAAAGTTGATAAATCAATTTGTTAATGCGACCTCTCTCTAAGGCGTCGCAAAATCCAGAACATTTTATGACCCTTTTTCCTTCTTAAGATTTATGTCAATTTGAATTGGGAGACAGAATCAAACCTTGATCTTGGTCACGATAACGTTTCTATGAAACCGGTTGTATTCGTTGAACAAATTTGAATCTAGGGGAATTTATCATTCAATGCAGTTTGTATGATTGAAGTCTTTTCCCAAATTCAAACAATATTCTTATGTTTACACACAGATTCAAAAGATTCACTCAGATTCAACACATTACTGTGGACGAATCGTCATGAATATGATGAATCTGATGAATCCCGTGAATCCAAATTGAAAATGGCGACAAAACTGTCAGTCGCCATATTGGATTTCATTAAACAAAAGATTCATAAGATTCGTAAGATTCACACCATTTGGAAAGTGAGTGATTCCCCAGATTTGAATCGGTCAAGCCTACATCTATCGACCGAATCTGAGATTCGAAGCTCCCAAAATTTTTCTTTCTCAATCGAAAACGTCTTTTTGAAACAGAAAATGTGTTTTATATACAATATTTTGTCATGAAACAAAATTTGTATGATTCTTTATTCGTTATTTTCTCGATTTTCTCTTCTATTTTGATACGCTTAACTATGGATTATTATTATGTGTATCCATTTACTTTTGGTTTATGCATGAAAAAGGCTTTGATCATCATAAAGGCAATTAAACGAGAACCGAAACGACTTTGGTTTTGGTTACAACAGGTGCATAGACTGGATAAGAATATGCAATTGCCCACACAGTGAAAAATAAAATTCCACACTTAGGCGGATTTTCGACTGGTAGAGGCGCCCAGTCTTATATTTTGCCTAGTAAATTGAGTTTCAGACGAAAAACCGACTAGATTATAAGCGAAATTTCGCCTGCAGCTCAAATTACTAGCAGCAATATCGGCTGAATGCGTTTTTAGCTGAAAAAACGGCTAGATGTGGACTTTTATTTTTAGCTGTGCATGGTACACCGAAGAAAATGAATCTTTTCGCACGTTCAGCTTCGATGCCTTTGTTGTCTCCTTTTGGGTTGCCCTCGACTTCAGCAAGAGTGTTTTGTTCTTCTTTCTTCACTTCAGTTTGCATTTTCGTCTGTGGCTCCGGTTCAGGCTCGCCGGTTGGAAAAGCGACTGCGACGGCAGCAAATAAGACGAACACAACAAACACTTTCATTTTGCTCTTTGAGTCTGGAAATTAAATGATAAATTTTGGTAAGCACAAATTGTAAAATAAGCAAAGGAAAAAAAAATGTTAAATATCAACGAAACTGGACCGAAAATTCAACATCCTTAAGAATTCACAAAAATGAATCTTTCAATGACTTACAGAGACTTACATTGACGGCATTAGAAAATAAACTGAATTTCTAAAATCATAGGATCTCCCTTATATATGGTGGCTGAATCTCAGTGGTCTTGTTTTCTAAAAGTTATTGCCACGTCTTGTTTGAAACCGCAACCGAAAAAAGCCACAGTCAAAAATACAATGACGAAATGTTGACAAAAATGCAATATTTTTCGTGTTTGTTTCTTTTTTGAGTTTACAGCGCTAGTGTTTCAGATTAAATGAAATAATAATATTTCAGAATACGTAAAACACAGCAAAGTCAGTAGAATTCACAGTGATTATGGTTTATTTTTAGTTTATCATGAACAAAAATGCGAAGCTTAGAAACGAAGTTCAATTGTTGTTTACATCCATGCAACCAAAACAACGACAGTCAATGACGAAACTGAACGTTGTTTTTTTTTTAAATACTGACTTAAAAAATGTTCACAATGTGATTTAAATTTTTTTATGGAAAAAATAGAAGAGGGTTCTTTCTGCTGAACATGTGTAAAAACCCGAAGATTAGAATGATGTTTGTTATTAATTGAACAGTTTGTTTGTGTGATCTCAAACCCTGTAAAGTGTCGCAAGATTCGAAGTATTTTGTGATTCAGTGCAAAAAAAGGACGAATCAAGAACTTCTATCGTCACCATTGTCATCTTAATCAAGCTATCAGATTTGCAGGGCTTAGACGAATATTATTTTCAAGGTAAATTGAATAAGGGAGACAAAATTGAGACAAGAGATTTCACTACTTTCATAGTTATCATTAAACCTTGATATTGATCGCAATAACGTTGCTTTCAAACCGGTTTTATTCGTCCGAATAAATCGGTGCCAGAATATCCATACGTCAGTTAGGTAATGCTGACACCACTTTTCAAATCAGCCAACTTCGGGCTCACCCACTGTCCGAAAACGTCTTCAGTCGAAGAAGATTCGTCGAATATTTGGCCTACAGTAAAAGAAACACGGAAATTTATTAAATTTTCTGTATTCGGCTATATCTCTGGAAAAAAAAATTTCTGAACAACATACCAAATGGTTTTCCCATCGGGGGTTGTAATTTTTTTTCCATCAATTTCGCAAACGGCGAATCGATCCACTTTAGAAATGAAATCGCCTTTTTAACAAGAATAAACTTAGGCCCATACACATTTTCATGCGAGGAAGTTGTTCAATTCCTGTATGATTTCAAATTTGTCAACAGATTTTTGTTCAAATATTCATTTGATATAAATTCATTTTGTTGATAGCCATGATCAATTTTGTGATTTAGTGTCTAAACTGAACGATAAATGGATAATCACCGAGGCAATCAATCCAATCGATAAGAACAAATGCGTTGAAATAACCAGAAGACCAGTTGATATTGACACCTTTGAATATATTCGACAATTTCTTGAATCGTAGACATATTCAATATATTTCTAAATTACGTTTTTAGCACGAAATGTTCGTCGTTTTTTACTATGTTAGATTTTAAGTTGATAAAAAGAAACCATTAATATTTTTTTCATAATTGAAATTTTATTCTGTACCAAAAATGACTCGTTCCTTAAGGATGACATTATTAAATTGAACCTACAGAATGTTTTTGATTTGCTTTTGATTAATTAACCATTCACTTTTCCGTTTTTTTTTTTTAAATAAAACATAATCAGATGTTATTTAATTCATTTTTACATGGGTCAAAGTATATAAAACAGCTGCCTCGAGACCACTACTGCATCGAGGTTGGTCGGGTTCGATTGTTCTTCTTGAATTATCTGAAACTAATTTTATTCGTCTGGTGAAGATATATTATTCCGTTGTGGATCATGTAAATATGAAACAATTCGAGTTGTGTGTAATCGTGAAGCTAAAGGATCGACACTGGATTCAAGATTCAAAACGGAAGATTCGGAATTTTTTTTGTTAAAATTTGGCACTTAGTTTTCTAACACACAATTTTCAATCAGTCATTTTGACTAGATCCAAAAAGATACGATTGAATTCGAATGTAATTTGTTTAGTTTCTTATCCTCTCTTCCAGCCATAGAGTGTATTACTCATAGAACTATAGAATTTAATGTCGGTTCCATCTTCTAGGTAGTCGCTCATCTCTTCGTACTGCTGAAAACAAGCAACAAGGGAATATGATGGCCAGAAGCTGTAGAAAAAAACAACAACATTAACAACGAATTTGAAATTATTGAGAGTAAACTCTAAATAAATTACCTGAATCAGAACAGCTCCAATTGCATAACAAACTAGCGTAAAAGTGTGGCTATTCAAAAATCCCATGAAGGCCGATTTACATCCAGTCTGTATGGCTTCGGTTATTCTGCATGTTTTATCGTCAGCGGCTCTTTGGCAGCATGATCCGGGCAGGTTGTCATTGGGTAGAACATGATTCCAATCATTTGGACCGTTAATTCCACAGCATTTCAACTGTTGGATGAAAGAAAAAATAGTTGCAGTTTCTAAATTTTTGTCCGGCGAGCTAATCCATTAATCAACTCACCTTAGTTTGCAACATATTCCAAGATGCAAAGTACGATTGATCTTTATCAGCATGATGGAGTGTGTAATTAAGTCGTTCATCGACAATGCCCTTCAATTGATCTCTTTTCGAATAAGCGGCACAAATGAGTCCGACTTCCAATCCAACGAGTATTATCATCATGAACGAGTACTGAAAACATTTGATTGAAAAACAAACCGAGTGAACAATTTAAGCAAAAATAAAAACGGTTGTCAAAAGAGAATGGACAACAAGAGTGATTCATCACACTTACACAGCATAGCATGCCAGTTTGTTCTTTGATAGCACCACAACAGCCCATATATGCGATGAAGAACATAACGCAGCCAACAACGATCAAAAAAATCGGGTGGGATGTCAAAACGTCTTCTGTGGATTTGAAACTACATTTTAGGATCGTAATTGTCGTTATAATAATTAACAATTTACCAATGAAATCCTGATATTCTACGAGATTTATTCTAACACCAATTCCAATCATAACCAGTGCTATGCCAAGCAACTATAAAATTGGAGAAAAAAAAAATTATTCTATTGGATATTGAAAGAAAAATTGTATCAATTGATATGGACAGTGTGACAAGGAACTTACGGCAAACAACAAGTTGAAAAGGAATAGAACATATTTTGCAAACGACAACCCAATATCCATTGTTAAATGTCTGTTCAATGACTTTCTGCAAAAATCACTTTTTAATTTAAATTATTTCGTACAAAAATCAATGTCGAAATCAATTGGTCGCACAACATCAACTCTTTGTACATATAAACACTTAAATTCCCAATTCGTAGAAAGAAAATAAACTACGTGGGATGGATAAAATACACCTTACTGGTGTCACACGCAATGGTATGTTTTCAGAACACAGGTGTGACTATGATATACGTTTGTATGTAAATTTTACTTTTTACAATCTAGAATATTATGCATAGTCGAAGTCTAAGGGCTTCTATGTCGGTTTGGCATTCGAATTTTCATTCACAAATTCGCGTTCAGTGCCATGCATTCGCAACGCTGCCATATGATTTCTATGTAAACATTCGCACTCGCATTCGTATAGCAGTCGTATTTCGCTGTTCTCGAACATTCTCACGAATACGAGTGCGTGTGTTTACATAGAAATCATACGGCAGCGTTGCGAATGCATGCACACGAATGAACGAATGAATTATGTAGTCACAAGTTCGCTGTCATAGCCGCATTCGTCGCATTCGCAAACATTCGAATTTTTGTTCTGTAATGCGAATGCATTCGCAGCATTCGCGAGAGATAAATCCCCTTAGGTCGAAGTACGTTCAACAACAAAAAATCACAGATTACAAACATCTCCAATTGATTATCAATTTCCAGATAGAATTTGCTCGTTAAAATTGAAATCAAACAAAATAGTTGAACACTTACCTCCGATCTCGACTGTTTATTTCACAAGAGTATTAAAATATGCGATCAAAAGAGAAAGGCAAATGTTTTGACATCTCAAATGGTACTGTCACCTGTCATTTTGAGATTGGTTCA